CGGCGGGACCGCACTGAGCCCCGAGGGACAGCACTGACCCTGAGGGACAGCACTGAGCCCCGAGGGACAGCACTGACCCCAGAGGGACAGCACTGACCCCAGAGGGACAGCACTGACCCCTGAGGGACACCACTGACCCTTGAGGGACACCACTGACCCCTGAAGGACCACAAGTCTCTGTGTGTGACCATCCAGCCAGTTCTTTACCCACCGAGTGCTCCCCCCATCCAATCCATGGCTCTCCAATTTGGAGACAAGGATGTTGTGTAGGACAGTGTCAAACACTTTGCATTTTATATACACATAAATATTCTCTTGCTACAGAACCCTCTAAGCTTCTACACGTTCTCAGGCACAGGAGTGTGCACAGAGATCTGTTCAGCATGGGATTTGCTCTCTGGATCTTACCAGGAGGTCATTGTGTTCAGAGCTGTCTGAGTGAGTATCCAGCTGGAGAAGCACTTTCTGCTTTTTCCTCCTGCTCTGCTCTGAGAGCAGATTTGTGCTCTCAACTTGCAGTTTATGTATTGGAGGAGTCTTTATAGCATATGTCTGCGAAAGAAAATGTTTAGAAATGTTAATTATATTTTCAGTGGTAATTAGAGAATCTAAACCCAAACTCCTCAGTTCATGGGCTGAGTATCCAGGAAGAGATGCTATATTTCCAACCAAAATGTGAAACAAAAGAGGAGGAGATCCTTTTTTTTTTGAGAATGACTGGGAAGCTGAGGAAGGACTCAGTTTTATGGCACAGTGTAACTTCCTTGTGCTTATCTGCACAAATTCAGGTTATATAGACACTACTTGTGGACTAGAACCAACGACTAGTCGTTCACAAAAGTGAAGGCAAAAGGTTTCAGAGAGACATTGACAGTGATATCAAAATTGTTTTTACATAAAATAGTCCTTTCACTGGAAGTTAAACTTGCTGTGGAATGGTCTCACTCTTTTAAATCCTGCTCATCCCAGCAAAAAAAAAATACATAAGCATCTCCAGAGAAGTAAGAAATACAGACAGGAAAATGCAACAAGGACAATTCAGTGTTAGGAGTTACAAACCTTCAATGCTGGACTGCCCAAGGGGCTCTTTGCAGGAGTCATTTTGGCCTTTTCCACTGTGTTGGTTCTCATAGGAATATCATTTAATGACTTGTTATTTTTGATGTTAAGAGATTCACTGTGCAGATCTAAGTAAGGTTTAGGAGTCTCAGGAAAGTGAGCTTGTATTTTCTAAAAGTAAAAGAAGTTTAAGTTAGAAGCATTTAAATGTCTTTTGTTGTGTGCACATAAGTTACCATGGAACCTCAAGAGATTCCATATTACCAAATTCTAAAGTTAATGAAAAGGTTAAGGTTACCCTGTGCTTCTTTTCACTTTCAGGTACCACATTCCTGGAGTGTTCTTTGGCAAGATTCTCCTAAACAGAGTTATGGGATAGGAAGTAAATACTGTATTTGAATTCAGCTGTTGAAAAGCTTCTTGGAGTCATTACAGAACACAATCCACAGTCACACTCTGTTATAAAGTCACACAAATATATGGCCCAGATCTAGTCCAACTGCAGCATCCCAAAGTCATTATTTTCCTAGTCACAGTTGCATTTCTTACACAACTTCTCCCAGTGCCTCAGCCCAGGACAGAGATGTCACCACCCAGTGAACAGAAATACCTTCTCTTCAATTGCTGCTTTCAGCTGCTCCTTAAGGGATGACAGTTCACTTTTCAGGCATGACAGCTCAGTTTCCTAAAAACAATTAGACAAAGGATAGGGTTAACTCTGCCCAGCCTGGCAAAAAGAGAACAGTCCAAAATGAGACAGTAATTAACAGGGGTATGCACTACAAACAAAAGAAAACTCCACTTGTTCTGCAGCCCTAGACTTGCAGCATTGCTTTGGTTTGTTTGAAGTTCTGCTAAGAATCAGGTACTTGAACAGAACTGCTGGAGGTGAAAATTCAAAACACTTGGGGGACAAGGGGTGGAGTCCAACTCTTTAACACAAAAGTTTGGTATTCAGGCAGTGAGGTCAGAACGTGACATACTCTCTGCAGAACAGACAGAAAAGCAAAGCTCCAGTTTAGTTTAGAAACATTTGGGGTTTTTAATGAACATACTAAGATCTGCAAGAAAATGAAAGCAAACAGAAATGAGTGGGTTTATCTTTCCTGCTTAGTCCCATTAGAGCAGAAACTTAACCCCCCCAAGAACTACATAGGAAGAAGCCAAATAGGATCTCTAGAGTTAATTGCACTTCAGGCCAGCAGCCCTTCCATGGAATCACTAGTGCTGAAGAGAAGCCTTACCAGGGATCTTTGTGATAACAACTGCTCTTGTTCTTTCATTTTATATAGTTTTAACTCTGCATCTTTTTCTTCCACCACTTTATCATATTCATGCTGTATTTAAAAAAAAAATCAAACCAACAACAAGCTCAAAACACTTGACCAGAGGGTACAATTATAGATCTACCCAGTCTTAAAAACACTCCTCAGTTTTTCAAGCCAGGCTCAAAAAGCAGCATGAGAAAACTCTGATGCTTCTGCAGGAACTGTAAACCAGAAAATGTTCAAGCAGAGTAATTTTTGGGCTGGCAGGAAAGGTTTCTCTCTGCACAGCAGTAAGAGTTCCAGCACAGAAGAGCAGCCATGCTGGTTTTATTACTGGTGCCTGATAAATGTCCTGCGAAGTGGGGTAAGTTCAAATATGGCAAGTTAAACTGCTGCAAGTCACTCAGTAATCTCCTGAGAGAGACAGGCCAAACTGACACTGAACTCATTGCATTAGGGTACCAAAGGAAGGCTGAATAAAGCCTCAAGACCCTAGAAATGTCTGTGAATGGAAGTGATCTGCCAGCAGGGATGTTTTCAAAACCTGGAGATGAGTTTATCTGTAGAGAATGAAAAGTCAAGTAAATGTTCAACTCCATTTTCCTAGACACAGGTCTTTTTTATGAAGTTTCACTTCCTAATCCATAATCTTCTGGGTTTACAAGGTTTTTGCTTAACATGGTGTCACACCTTACAAATCACAGCAATCAGTAAAGTCTCTTGCCTTGTGCTTTTCCATAAGTGCCACCATTTCAGTTATCTTGTGCTGACATCTGACATCAGTTTCTTTCTGGATCACTTTTGCTTCTCCAGCAAGTACCTTCATCTTCTCTACCTGTTGGCAACAAGTTTCATTCAATTCATGAACAACTAACAACAATATAAATTTCTTTGAATCTTAGTTTCATGTCTTCTTTCCCCATGGGTGCAAAGTGTGTGTAGTCTCATTTAGTTTTCTTTTGCTCTCAAGATCCTTTTCAAATCCTACATCATATTTGCATGTCATGAAAATGGGCAGATATACATAGATTAAAGCAACCTCCATGCCAGGCAATGTCACTTGGACCCATGAGGCCATTTCAGGCTCTCTGCCCTGACATTTTTTGACATTGCCATCCAAAAAGTGTGGGCAGAAAAATACTGATATGGGAAAAGTGACAATCTCGTTTGTCTGTGCTGTGTTTATACCAAAACCTTAAGGATCTAAGGTGCTAAAGCTTTGCTCACAGGCATGCACAAAAAATTCCATTTCTGTGGTTGAACGCTACATCAGAGCAAGGACTCTGCCAACAAAGCTTCCTAACACCATCACACACCCAAAAATCATTCAAAACTGCAGCAAAAATGAACACCTCTCACCTCTTCATTGAGTTTCTTTTCATTTACTATTTTTGTCTCAAGGTCTTTCTGATAGACGTCAAGTGTTTCCTTATGTTGCTTGTTCATATTTTCCATGTCTAGCTGTAATTTATTCACCTTTGGAGAAAGCAGAATTGTTGCTGTAATTTGTCAATGATTTTTCATTTTTACTTCTTATTTTGGAGGAGACAGGAAGCTGAACAGGAGCCAGCAGTGTGCTCAGGGGGCCAAGAAGGCCAATGGCATCCTGGGCTGGATCAGGGACAGTGTGGTCAGCAGGACCAGGGAGGTGATTCTGCCCCTGGACTCAGTGCTGGTGAGGCCACACCTTGAATCCTGTGCTCAGCTCTGGGCCCCTCAGCTCAGGAGGGACATTGAGGGGCTGGAGCAGGTCCAGAGAAGAGCAACGAGGCTGGTGAAGGGACTGGAGCACAAGTGCCATGAGGAGAGGCTGAGGGAGCTGGGGGTGTTCAGCCTGGAGAAGAGGAGGCTCAGGGGAGACCTTCTCCCCCTCTGCAACTCCCTGACAGGAGGTTGGAGTCAGGGGGGGGGTGGTCTCTTCTCCCAGGCAACCAGCAGCAGGACAAGAGGGCACAGACTCAAGCTCTGCCAGGGGAGGGTTAGGTTGGATCTGAGGAAGAGATTTTTTAGGGAGAGAGTGCTCAGGCATTGGAATGTGCTGCCCAGGGAGGTGGTGGATTCACCATCCCTGGAGGTTTTCAAGCTGAGACTGGATGTGGCACTTAGTGCCATGGTCTAGTGACCACAGTAGGGTTGGACTTGATGATCTTGGAGGTCTTTTCCTACCAGGTTGAGTCTCTGATTCTCTGATTCTAAGCACTGTTAATCTGCAGGTAACTCTGTTATTTGCAGGTATATAATTGAACTGTTTCTTATTTAAAGTCCAGCTTGTTCTCATAAAGAGTTGAACTTGGGCCTGAAGTGAGTTAGAAAATACTCAGAGAAACAAAACTATGGGTTGATTCCTGCAAAATCTGTATCTCAGTTCCATAAACCAGTTCAGGATGTATTTAACAAGGTTTATCACTAGTTACACTGGGACTTTAACCACTCTCCTTATCTTCTGCATGAAGTTATTCAAACTTACCTTCACCTCATAAACACTGCTTTTCTTGCTCTCTGCAGTGATTTTCTTTTTCAGTGCCTTGTTCTGTTGAAATTAAGCAAAACAAAACCTTTGATATATTAATAGAATTATGCAATGGTTTAACTGATCAAGCATTTGTGCCTTTCAAAAACTGTCCATACCTCCTGCTGCAAATCTTCAATGCATTTGGTCTTATTTTCCACCTGTTTCTTTAGAGTATTCATCTAAAAAGAGACATTTCAAGCATTAATTAATAAACTCCTAAAATAAGACTCAGTGTGTTACAGATTACTGTTGGGGTTCTCACACAGTCTGAAACACAAGTTGATAGGCTACAATGATTGGAGTGTTAGCCCTAAGGTACCACAAGGTGTTAATTAACAGCAAAGAACCAGTTGCAGAGTTTAGAAAGAAAAAGGGAAAAAAAAAAAAAGGAATGTTACAATTTAAAAAATAATCTTTATGAATTCTCTGTGATCCCTAAAAAATGAATTTTCATACCTTATTTTCCAGAATCTTCAGCTGCTTCTCCTTTCTTGACATTTCATTTTCAATACTCTTAGCCTGCAGTTACAAATGTAAATCCTTGACTTTTACAATGAAATTCTGAAATCCATTCTGATGCTCTAAAACCAACTGTGCTTTGAAACTACAGTCAGACAGTAAAATACTTGAATCTGCTGAAGTTTAAATTCCTATTAGAGAGCTAATGCAGATCCATCTATCACCCAGAGACATGCAGAAATAAAGAGAAGAGAGTTCTCTGTTTGCCTGAAATCTAACAAGTCTGGACTTTTAAGCCTCCATCAAACAGAGAACATCCCAGTGAAGGTCCTTGTCTTTATAACACAAGGGCTCAGCTCCTGCACAACTGGCAGCAGCCCTGAGAGGGGAGAGCCTCTAGCAGGGATCACAGCCCCAGACAAAGCTTTGCAGAAAACAAACCAGCAACTGTTTCACATGTATATTTTGTCCTACAGGTTATGCTATCTGTTTTCAGGATAAAGCACAGGATGTGGCATACATTTTCTTCTCTTTCCTCCAGTTTACTTTGGATCTCTTCACCTGCCTTTGCCATCTTCTCCTTCAAAGACTCCAGTTCGTTTCTAAAGGCCAAATTAACAAGCATTAGTAAATATTGACTTAATAACTCACTTCTATTTGTGCTGCTAAATAAACTCATACTTTGTTGTCTAAAAAGAGCTGCTAAGGTTGGTGGGAGCTTCATAAGCTGTTCCAAGAAAATGTTCTTAAAATGATGCAAAATGCCTGGGAAGTTAATGTCTGACCTGCAGATAGTTTTTGTGAGGATGGAAAGATGCTCCCCTTCCCTGAGGAAAATAGGTCCTAACCTGTAATGTAGCTATGAAACATGAATTCTGCCTGCATAGGGAAGTCATGGTACAGAGAGTGCAGGGAATGGCATTTAACCAATTTCCTGTTCTCACATTTAATCCACAACCCTGAACTTCTATTTTCATTTCCTTCACACCTAAAAACACCTGTTATGGTGTCCTCAGAATAAGAAGGACATGGAACTGCTGGAGCAAGCCCAGAGGAGGCCACAAAGTTGCTAAGAGCACTGGAGCATCTCCCCTATGAGGACAGGCTGAGGGAGTTGGGGCTGTTCATCCTGGAGAAGAGAAGACTGAGTGGAGATCCCAGAGCAACTTTTCACTCTCTGAAGGGCATACTCAGACTAACTGTGCAGGAATCAAGTCTAACTCCTTTAATAACATTGGATATTACTATTACTTTTCACTTGCCTTAGCTGGTCATTTGCTTCTTCCAGGTTTTCAACCACCTGCTTTGTATCTTCTTCTCTTTTCCTACTCTCCTAAATAAAGACCATTGTAAGTAAAAGGAATGAAATTCAAATGACATCTTAAAAAATGCCAAGGCATCCAAAGCATGTTGACCTGCCTCATCCCAAGGGCATTCTGCCTCCTTTGGATTTCAAACACCAAACACAGTTCAGGCAGCCACAGAACCATGTCATGTTACAGTTTACTATCTGATTTGTACCTTACATTGAATGTTGTCCTTTAAAAACAACTGGAAGTTTACAACTTGCCTCCTGACTTTCCTGCAGTTTCTTGAGTTCTGCAGCCACATCACTTTTCTCTTGTGTTATTTGCTCTTTCTCTAGGGAAAGCTTATTGATGCACTCTGCCAGTTGTTCACTCTTCAACCTAATTTGAAACAAATGATCAAGAGAAATAAGAACATGAATTCTTTTTGAGTCAAATTTATCCATTTCCAAGTATTACTTCATGCTAAAAAAAAGTCCAGGTCTGTATCTACAGTTGGTAGCTTTGCAGTAAAGTCAGAGTGATTGAAAAAAGTGACAGAAGGAGAAAGGAAAATTTGAGTCAAGTTTTGGTTGTTGTAGTTCAAAGAAGGAGTAAAATGAATTCAGAAACTTTGTCTTCATGTTAACCCAACCAAGTCACAGAGAAATGGAACAACTACATACACAGAAATTGAGAAAATCTAATTAATAAATCTAAGTATATAATGAATCTCATACTGTGTGGTTCAAAGTTTTCATTAGAAAACAACCCCAGATCATTGTGTATGAAAAGAACTTCTGTGCAACACAGGAAAAATCAAATATTCTATTTCCGAAGATGTTCATACATCTCTTGTTCCAGATCTGTTTTCAGGGTCAAGAGCTGATTCAAATAATCTTGTTCCTTCTCAGCTGCACTAGTCAGTTGTACTTTCAAGTCGGGGATTTCTTTCTGTGAAGGGAAAAGGAAGACTTTAAACTATAACTTGTGAAAGCTATCAGAAATCAACTGGCAGCCTAAATATTAACCAGAGCACACCAAAGCCACATATTCCCCAGACTGCACTTTTCCATCTCTCTGGAGGAACATGGAATTGGGGTGAGACAGTGAACTCTGACACATGTGATCTCTGTGTCCTCTACTGTGATTCTCATTAACACATTCGCAAAAATTACTTCTCCTTGGACATAACTTTCAATAAAGACATTTGCTTCAGACATCCTAAGCTTTTGCATTCACCTAAATAAAAGTGACTAAAATGTCACAGAACTCCAATGCTATGGTGATGGAATATGTCCAGAGGGAGTGGCCATTGGAAAAGGTGTCAATGAAGAAGGAAATGATCAGAAATATTGACAAGGAAAAGCAAAGCAAAGCAGAACACAAGAAGAAAAACAGAGGAGAGAATCAAAGGAAACACTGAAATCATCTAAAAGGGCAGGTGAGAAAGTTTAGTAGAATATTCAGGTAGACTAGACAGTGTTTATATGTGGCATACAAGTTACTTAGACAGCAAGAGAGACATAATATGAAAAGTAAATGCCAAGAGACTAATAAAATGAACACTTACCAGTGCTTCTGACAGCTCTTCAAGTTGCATCTCTTTGTCACATTTTAGTTTAGTCATCTCTTCTGCAGCATATGCAATATAAGAATAATGGACTAGAGGTAATAATTCCTATTTATCAGGCAGCCAAAACATTTATCCCTTGGCAATATCTAATTTTCAAACTTGTTGGATTAATTCAGCAACTGTAAAGCTAAATTATGACTTAATCCAAATATAGAGTGGAAAAAAATGATTCAGAAAGGCATTAGGAAATACATATCTGAGAAGAAACCAATCATTTATCCTACCTAAAATTCAGAGCCTGTTATGTTTTCCACATTGTGGCTTCAAATAAACTGTAGAGTGTATAAACATATAAAACCATTTCTCCAAGCAATAGGGACAGTCCATTTTCAGAAAACATTATTACCACTTATTTTCTTTCTTCAAGTCTTACCCAGTTCAGCAGATTTATTTCTGAGCTCCAAGTTAAGCAGCTTTGACTCGTCTTCATATTTCTCCAATCTAGGAAAATGGTAATTAAAACCCCCAAATGTCTAGTACAAAGCATTGGAAAAGCTGCACTTGAGACTTACTAAGACAAAGCCTTACCACAAGCACTGTAAGAACATTTGCCTTTCAACAGGCAGATGATAAATCTGTCTGCAACATGTACCAAAATTCTCTTTTGCAACATGTACCAAAATTCTCCTTTACAACATTGAAAGAACAGGCATAAAAGCAAATAAATATAGACATACATAAATCTGCAATTCTTAAAGAATTATGGAAGTTAAAGGAGAGGGGGCAAAAATCTACTTTTTTTACAGACCAGGACAACCAGCACAACAGAAAAAATACACTAAATTCTCTACATTTAGATCACAGTGTCAAAAAAATGCCCAAATTTCAGCTTCATATCCATTTGTTCCTCGATTTTGTCATAAACTGCAATCTCTAAGACCATTCTTTGAACTCAAACTGTGGAATTTACCTATTTTGCTCTTTTTGCAGCGAGCTTTTCAAATTGGCAATAGAAGTCTCAAACTCCTCTATCAGTGCTGCATGCAAAGCCTTAGTGTTTTTACATTCTTCCTCCTGTGCTTCTTTCTCTCCAGTGACCTGAATTAATGTTTTCACTGTAGTCTGCAACTCGGTTTCTAAGCTCTTTTGAGTCACCTTCAAAAAATTATATGATTTCTAAACATGTTTTGCATCAAACAGCTGCAGTTGTTTCATAGCTAAAGCATCAGTAATTGTTTATGCAATTACTCAGCTGATCTATTTAGACTGGAAAACTGGAAGGAATTTTTACCTCTGCCTTTTGTAATGACATTTTGGCCTCTTCCAGTTCTGCCCTCAGGTGATCTTGTTTGATCTGGGACTCCTTTGACACTTCTCCTTCAAGCAGTAAGCAAAAAGAGGTATGTTTATATCTAAGAAAAATAGGATATGTACTAAAAAATGCTGCAAAAAATGTACAATTATATATAGAGTTTTAGAATTTAACAAAGTCCAAAGGTATTTGCAACATGTACTATAAATATGCTTAATATAAATTACTCAAAAATATTGAATATCAAGTTCTGAAGTGTAATTGTCCTCAGTAAAATCATCATGATCCTGTTTGTGATACTTCTATAAACAATTGCATTGTAACAGCAGAGAGAACTCTTACTTTTTGCTTCTATCAAGTCAGCAATCTTATGGTTTGACTCCTGCAGCTGAGCCTTGATGTCTTGTATGACACCATCTTTTTCACCACTCTGTGTGGTCAGAGCTGAAATCTAACAAAATTAAAATAACATGATAATGAGGTCTAGACAAAGGACAGAGACTCATTCTCATGTGTGCAATGAGCAGACATCGTGCTGTCATTCAGCCAAACAGTGACCAAGGCATGACTCTCAGTGAAAACGAGCTTCAGTTCAACATAAAAACACGAACTCCAACAGGAAAAAGATACTGGAACATCACCAAAGTTGGCAGAATATGACTTAAATGTAGCTCCAGCTGCTGATTTTGTCTTTTTCGCTAGTGCCCAGAAGCACTCACTGCCTCTTGCCTTGCCCCTTTATTCCTAAAGAAATATTAGATTGTAAAACTGAGCAAACCTGTTTGTCCTTCTGAATCACTTCCAGTTTCCATTCTTGTTCAACCTTCTCCACTTTTTCTGCTTCTTCTTTTACTTTAGAAATACAACAGCCATAGTTAATTTTCTGCTCAGAGTTCTGCACAATTTCCAGTTTAAGATTGTTTGCAATTGTACAGTTTGTTTCCTAAAGAGTAATTTTAATTCATGTTTGAAATCATTTTGTAATCAGAAAAAAATTTTTTGCCAGCCTTCCACAGAATTAGTGCATTATTCCATGTTTGTTATGAGAAACCAACAGAAATGGAGGTGTAAAAATGAAGTTAAAATGACTATTTGAAAAATAAAGTTCCAAATCTGACCCAGTGGAACAACAATAAAAGGGCTCAGGTATGACTAAAAGAGGGTCCCAATGTCCCAGTGCCACCTGCTCATCATTCCAGCACTTCACACCACTCTGCCCTGACACTGCACATGCAGTAAGAGCTGTGAAGTCCAAAATCTGCAGCATGAACACAATGAAGAGAATGCTCACATTTGAAACTCATCTCCAGCCTGGTGTTCTCTGCTTGCACACGAAGGTCCTCGAACGCCACTGTCATTCTCTACAAACAAAATGCAATATTTGATGTTCAATATTTGAATTCTGCAAGTTCTCCAGAGGTTGTTTCCAGCCTCAGCCAGTCTGTGGGATCAGACTCTGCTGCATGTCATGATACACACACACGATGGATATGAAGAGTATCTCAGCTCAGCTTAACATAAAATCATAGAATTTAGGGGTGGGAATGGATCTTACAGATCATCTAGTCCCAATCCCTGCCCTGGGCAGGGACACCTCCTCACTAGATCAGGTTGCTCAAGGCTCATCCAGCCTGGAATGAACACCACCAGGGTTGGGGCAGCCACAGCCTCCCTGGGTAACCTGTGCCAGTGTCTCACCACCCTCACAGGGAAAAACTTTTTCTTACATCCAACCTAGACTTTCCCTCCTTCAGTTTGAACCCATTGCCCCTTGTCCTGTCCCTGCAGTTCCTAACACAGAGTCCCTCTCCAGCTCCTTGTAGGCCATTCAGAGAGTGAAAAGTTGCTCTGAGGTCTCCACAGAACTTTCTCTTCTCCAGGCTGAACAGCCCCAACTCCCTCAGCCTGTCCTCACAGGGGAGATGCTCCAGTCCTCTTATCAACTTGGTGGCCTCCTCTGGACTTGCTCCAACAGTTCCATGTCCTTCTTATGTTGAGGACACCAGAACTGTGTGCAGTGTTCCAGGTGGGTCTCACCAGAGCAGAGGGGGAGATTCACCTCCACATAACTCACACTGTAACCTTTTAACAAGCTATGTCACTTACTTCCACGTTGTTATTCAGTTCCTCATACAGTTGTCTTGTTTCTTCTCTTTCATGTTCATCTATCAAAGCAAGAAAGTATCATAAATCCTTTCCTTTGAAAAAGCAGGTCCAAGGCATTATGGTTAAACAGGGTAATGAATGAAAAAAAGGAATTATTGACTCTTTTCTGACTAACAAGTCATTATGAAACAGGATGCCAAAACTTATATGGTCTGGGAAAAATGTACATTGCATTGAAACCTGTGTCAGGGTTTAGGCACTCAAATAGCTCCCAGGCTTGGATCCTTACAGCAAACAATGTCACAGGCACAGAAATCCTTTGGGCTTAGCATTACAAAACACAGGTGTTTGTGAGCCACTTCAAATTCCCTTCTAATTTTAAGAGCCACATCCAGTTTACCTCACTCAGAGAACCTCCCTGGGACAGCCTGAGAGCTTTACTCCCTTTGTGAGAAAGCTACAAGTACCTTTACTTTCATAAATCAGAACTTAATGAGCATTTACACTTGCTGGACTTCTCTGTAAAGTGAGTGCAGGTTTCCTTGAGCAGATTGCACAGATGCCTCGAGGCTGTGTTTCTAAAAGAGAGGAAAAACCCAAAATATGTAGTTCCAGGCACACAGGGCATCTTGTGTACCTGAGGAGTGACAGTGTGAAAGACCTTCACAACTCAACACCCACATGTACCTGCCACAGCAGCACAGAACTCAGCATGAAAACTACATTTTCACCAAAAAACATACATGTATTTGGCTGTATTACTTACTCTTTCAAGAGATCTTTGTTTTCACATATCTCATCTTCCAGTTTTAAACTGAGTTTTTCGTTTTCAAACTGATTTCATGGGGAGCAAATACAAAAAGACATTGTTATTGAAAAAACATACTGGAAATGCACTTTGACTTCTCAAAGCTCACATGAAAAAGGAATTTTCTGCATTAGAAGACAGAAGTCTGTTTTATCTGGTATTACATGCTGAGGCATCTTTTGCATGAAGGGCATAAATAATGATTTTCCAGCAGCTGAAACACTCACAGGTATGTTCTCCATACACACTCACACAGGGCAGGTACACAACCTTTCTCAGAACAACCACTTTCTCAGGCAAAGCCCAATCTGCAACACTCTGATATTTAATGACATGAGTAATATTGTCACACTGAACCAGGAAACACTTTCTCTTCCTCTGTTCAGTGTCTGTTGGGCAATACTGGCCTGCAGCTCCTGAATGGCTTTTCTCTGTGCTTCAATGATCTTCCTGTTTTCTTGCAGTTTTCTCTCTTTCTGGCTTAGCTCTGACTCCACACTCAGTTTCCACCTCTTGATCTTCTCAGCCTCTTTGTAGAGTTTGGAGTACAATTCATTCACTGTTTCTATATTCTAGTGAAACAGGTTCCACAATTTAACCTCAAATACTATTCAATAATGTTGTAGATACAGACTTATCTCTTAGAAACATCACAGGAGTAAATTTTTCCCCCACAGGTGGTGACACACAGCATCAGGAACCCAAGTTTAAATCTCTATGCATCCACCCTGTGTGTATGAACAAATATTAGAGAGCAAATAGGAGACAGAAACACCAGAAAATATACCATACTGCCCTCAGACATCACCAAAGGTCTTAAAGATGTGGGTAACTGCACTCCAGCAAAACTCTACAAAAGTTCTGCTAGAATTATCAGTACCAGAGCCAAAAATCCTTCTGTTAGGCTCTTCACACCATTCCCCTCCTCTTATCCTGACAGATACTGCTGAGTTAGGTAAAAGCAGCTCCAGAGACCTTTCCCAAAGCTGCCCAGGGTATGGAAAACCACCCGACCTTGTGCACTTAGGACTTCTTTCAAGCCTTGTTCAAGCAGTGCTAGCTCAGTGGTTGAGGCAGGTCAGAGCAGCACAGAAGGCCACAGGGCAGTTTGGCTGAGGGATGATGTCACCTAACACTGTCCTGGTTTTGGCTGCATCACAGTGTTGTTTCAGTCCTGACTGTATTTTAATTGCTGCCAGGACTAAAAGAAGTTTAGTCCTCAGGGATAGGAAAGAGATATGTTCCATTTTGGGGCAGCAAACAGCATTTTGTATCTGGGAAGCACAGAAGCTACTGCAAAAAAAATGAGCTTTACTGAGTTGTATCAAAGCAGAAAAATCTTGGCAAAGATTTGTCTCCAGGCATGTTCACTGAATCACAAATACCTCCTCTGAGTGATTCAGCTTTTCACAGGAGACAGAAAATGCTTCTTCCCCTTTAACTACTTCCTTTAGCCCTGCAATATCTACTGACTAATGCTTGAGGCAACTGTTTGGGAACAAATTAAGAGACCCTAAGAGATGAGATATGCAGAGTTGATACTTAGCTGACCTCTTCATCTACTTCAGAGCAAAGTTTTACTTGCTGTGAAATCGTATCTGAAATATGAAGAGATTTTGATCAATGTCTTTCTAAAAGAAGTAACAGTGAAACTATTTAGCAGTCACAGCTATGAAGCTGTTACTCTGCTCATGAACACTAAATAATACTAAAAAACTTTCAAGAATGTGCAAGGAAAATGTTGATTTTAGTCTTACCTGAGTCAGTGATCTCACCACGGGTTTGGGTACCGAATGGCAAATTAAAATCATCATCTGGGCATTTGTTAAATCCCTGCACAAATGTAAACATTAGTTTCTTAAGGGTAGTTTGGCAAAAAAAAGATTAGAAAATCCAGAAAAAAAATACAGCTGCAGTGAAAATAGGATTTTTCATCAATACTCATCAAAATTACCCAAATTGGTAATGACTTTGGAACTCTCTGGTTTGCTTTGTACCTCACAGTGGCTTTTCAAACTGTTGGTCTTTTGTAGTTTGCTTTACAGACTGTGGCCAAAGGGGAAGGTTTTGATGCTATTACCTGTGTGTGCACAGCTGCAGGTGAAGAACTCAGGAAGCAAAATGATTTCTTTGAAAGGCAGTAGTTAATATTTATTTATATCAGGGCAGCTCTGAACCACATCTCTTTATGTTTTAGCACAAAAATGTCATTTTACAAGGGGTTTTAAGTCAGGTAAGTTTGTTTGTAAATAGCACAACTCATCTGTCAGTGTGTCACATTAGAATCTAAACACAAGGAGCCTCAGCATGAAAAAATTACTTGTTGAAGTCACAAAACTCAGTGTGGTGACAGAGCATTTGTTGAAGTCACAGAACTCAGTGTGGTGACAGAGCATTTTCTGGTGAAAGCAACACATCAAAGCCAGTGTGGGCATCCCAGTGGGGCACTGCTCACTGTGCTAGATTACCCAAATCCCAGTGGGGCACTGCTCACTGTGCTGGACTACCCACGTTAAACCACTTGTGATCACAGCTGTACAACACACAGGTGCTCAGGAAGGTGATTCCCTTCAGTTTTGAGAGAAAATGACAGTAAAATCCTTTGAAATTAACACTGAAGGTGTTCCCCCCAGCACCAATGCAGGTGCATGGGCTTTCACCTGTGTGCGTGTGTTCAGCTATCCTTTGAAATTAACACTGAAGGTGTCTCCCCAGCACCAATGCAGGTTCATGGGCTTTCACCTGTGTGTGTGTGTATGTGTGTGTGTGTGTGTGTTCAGTTCAAGGCTCTGAGCTTTCACCTGTGTGTGTGTGTTCAGTTCAGAGCTCTCATTTTCACCTGTGTGTGTGTGTGTGTCCAGCTCAGAGCTCTGGACTTCCACCCATGTGTTCAATTCAGAGCTTTGGGCTTTCATCTGTATGTGTGTGTGTGCCTGTATGTGTATCTGTTCAGTGCAGGGCTCTGGGCTTCCACTTGTGTGTGTCTGTGTTCACTTCAGGGCTTTGGGCTTTCACTTCTGTGTGTTTGGTTCAGGGGTCTGGGCATTCACCTGTGTTTGTGTGTGTTCAGTTCAGGGCTCTTGGCATTCACCTGTGTGTTCAGTTCAAGGCTCTGGGGTTTTTACCTGCGTGTGTGTGTTCAGTTCAAGGCTCTGGGTTTTTACCTGTGTATGTGTGTGTTCAATTCAGGGCTCTGGGCTGTCACCTGTATGTGTATGTGTCTTCTTTAGCATTCTGGGCTGTTACCTGCATGTGTGTTCAGTTCAGGGCTCTGGGCTGCCACCTGTATGTGTTCTGTTCAGGGCTTTGGGCTTTGACCTCTGTGTGTTCAATTCAGGGCTCTGGGTTTCCACCTGTGTGTGTTCAATTCATGGCTCTGGGCTGTCACCTGTGTATGTCTGTGTTCAGTTCAGGGCTCTGGGCTTCCATCTGTGTGAGTCCAGTTCAGGGCTCTGGGCTGTCACCTGTGTATGTGTGTGTTCAATTCAGGCCTCTGGGCATTCAGCAGTGTGTGTGTTCAGTTCGGGGCTCTGGGCATTCACCTGTATGTCTGTGTGTCCGTTCAGTTCAGGACTCTACCTGGGCACTCCCCAGGTG